AGCACATGCAGATGTCAAAATCTGCATAATTTACAAAATAAACGTTGATGTTTGGTTTATTTTGTAGTTTAGTGGGTTGCAGTAAGATTTAGGATTATAGCGTAATTAAATCATTTTAAATCTTATACAGCTTTTTCACGAGTACTACAATATATTGATTGTGTGAACGCTTCTTGAGCGGACATTCTGAATTTAAGCAATTTTTAAATACAGATTAAATTCAGCATTCTTCAGGTTTTCATTTCAGCAAGTTTGAAATAATATTTCAATCATTTGAAATATCAAATTATATTTGATATATTTATTTCCTAATAGCAATATATAAAATTGTTATTTCTGCAATATTGAATTGGCACAATTAGGCTCTTTGCACTTCCTTCTGCTATTTTAAGCTTCTTTCTGCTTTTTTTTTTTTTAGCTACTATCCATCTGTTTATTTTGCATATTTCTGATTTTTTTTTTCAGATATCTTCCACATCTTTGTGCTCATTTCTCCTTCTTTAGCCTAATTGGACACAATTGTGTCCTCTCCAATTCATTCTACTAATTTAAGCTTCTTTCTGCTATTTTAGCTACAGATTAGCAGATTTTTTTTTGCTAATTTCGCTTTTTTTCCAGATAATTTTCACTTTTTGTGCTAATTTCTGCTTCTTTAAGCCAAATTGGGCACAACTGAGCTTGTTTCAGTTTCTTCTGGTAATTTAATCTTCTTTATGCTTTTTCAGCTAATTTTCTTTTATTTTTTCTAATTTCAGCCCTTATTTTTAGCTAAATTATATATTTTTTTTCGGCTTATTTAAAACTAATTCAGCAAATACGTGTTCTTTCTGCTTTCTTCTGCTAACTTAGACTTGTTGTTGCATTTCCGCTACATTTCAGCATGTTTTTAGCTAATTTCAGCAGTTTTTCAGCAAATTCTTCAGCAATAAGCATTCGCAGGAAACAATTTCTCTAGTTACTTTTTGCTTTTATATACATTCAGTAAATTATAATAAAATAAACTTGATCAAAAGCAGACACAATAAACTTCTGTGTTTGAAATTGCAGTTTACTAGGAACAAATCAATAAAGAAAGAAATGTAATATGCATGACATGTTTTAGCCAGTTCAACATTTTATTAAAGAAACTTTAGACGCATGCGTTCGGCCAAAACCCTTAAAGCCTATTTTCTCAGTAAAGGGATTCTAGGACTTCTACTTGGGGAATTAAACATGCCAACCTCAACCTTATGAATATTTTGAATAAAAATAAACCTGAAGTTCATGCAATTCAAGCTTAAGCCATCATGTGAACTATTCCTGCCGTGGCAGTGGCACTTTGTGATCCAGTTTTGGTAAAGGCGCGGATGCACCCAACGATGCGCTTCTAGATCTGACTGCGTTAGAAGCACAAATAGGTATATTTATTTATGGTGTGCAGAGTCAGGGCTGCAGTGAAGGACAGCCTAATCACCTGGTGCCCCCTCCCTGTCAGATTCATTAACACCTTCGGTAAAGTTCTGCACCATGTTGGGTGGACACGGCTAATATTAGCTAACCGTCAAATAAGGTCAGTAGATAATTATTAAGAGGGAAAAATACCTTAAATTGAAGTAATTTTGTTTAATTGCAAGTCAAGTTGTCAGAACTTTCTTTTGTATTTTGTTCTAAGAAACATTTATACGTGGGTTTGATCAAAGGTTCTTCACACGTTTTGAAGATCTTTAAAGATTTCCTTTGAACTTTGTCTGCTTTGTGATCCATTTTCTTCCCAGTCCTTGTAAATCAACCATGACAGTATATTGTGCAGTGCATGCTTAAAAGAACAGGAAATTTAGATAAATATAGGACAAATAAAAAGTGATGGACCGATATATTTACAGCAGATGAACAGTATCTGAAAGTTGTTGAATAAGAAAAATACAAAATCAGCAAAGACCTGACACAGGACTGAAAAAAGATGAATGTATTTCAGCTGGTCATTTTTTGTGCGTCAAGGTGTTGTCGGTCAAAGTTGGTATTTTGTTTTCTTTTTATAAGTTCAACAACAAAATTGTAAGGATTGCAACATATCGATATAAAACATTTCAAAAGATTGCAAGAAAGCAAGTCTTAATGGAACCAAAAATAAATATTGAAAAAAGGGACATTTCACGGCTTTTACACTATTGCATTGCATTGGTTTGGTCAGTGCGGACGTGGAGATGATTTAGCGTTTTGATGAATCCTGGAAGTCTACTGAGATTGGCAGGTGGAATCACAAGTGGTAACTTGTGAGACATGTTGTAGTCAGGTGTGTTAAAAGAAACATTATATATAAAAAATAAAAACTATTTTGTCAAATATCTGAATCTAAACTTACCCCAGACATTAAAAGCTTTCCAGTTAAACTCAACTTTGCACAGACTGATTCAGAACAATGTGAGGGGAGGCCATCAGGGGAGGGCTGCTGATTGCTGTATTCATACCCATCTGCTCACAACAGACTCATGTTCAGGCTGCTGTTTAATACACCGTATTATATTATTACTGTTAAGCGTATATTTTAGATCCTTATATACTGTTTCTTTGTTATACTTTATATTTTTGCTATTTTTGGGTGTAACTGGGACCTTTCGTTCCACCTCACGTACCACATGTGATGCGAATGACAATAAAGAAGCTTGAACCTTGATCAGAGGGAGACTGTAGGAAGGAAACAGACATGAGCAGGAACAATCTTATGAATCTTATGAAGTGAGACACAAATCCATGCATACAGACCCTTAACTCTGTATTTAAATTCATCTTCAGTGTGCAGCACCAGCCCAACTGAGCTGAACGCTAATGAGAAATGGAGAGAGGAATTGCGTCTGTGTGTTTTTGTTTAGCTCAGCCTTTGGCTGAACTCAGAACTCTCCAGAAACTTTGGGTCTGTCTTATTTCTCTCCAGTCCCCCCCCCCCCCCCTCCATTTTCCCTCTGGTCCCTTTGTGTTTATAAAATCTTAGAAAACACACATTTTTCCTCTCTAGTTGAAACGCCACATGGCATGTTTGCGTCAAACTGCACAGTCTTGAATAAATTCCATTTCAATGAATTTTTTCTGAACATGCGCGTTTTTGCAACTTCCCGAGGACCGGATTTTATTATAAAACAAGAAATTCTGCTGATAGCCAGTTGGCATTTTTAAATCTATCTAAAGTAAAATAATTTAAAGGGGTGTTTCTGTTTGGGACCAATGTCCTTGCTGCACCCATCAGAAGCAAAACATCCGAGCAGACACGCTCACACTCGTCCATTCACACTGATCTAATTTTACATTTAGTCAATGAGCCGCCTCCTATCAGTCTGCGGGGATGCTGCAATGTGATTTAGGTTAAACATGTTTCAGTGGCGTCTAGGTGTGATGGACAGGAACACACAGGCATGCACAGATTATGTTGTACCACCAACACAGGCTGTGTTCTCTGAAGGACAAACATTTCATCTCCCCTGCTCTTCCTTCTTTGCCGTTTCAGCACTACTGTCAGCCTCACAACCTGTGCATGGTGAGTGGAGGTGTGTCTGCGGGTTTCACTCATCTATAAAGCTCAGTTTGAAGCGCTGCTGTATCCGTCTCCTTTGCGTGTCCTTTCTGGTATAGACGGTCGGTACCTTTAACCTTGTCTCCACGTGTTATCACACCGCGTCTACTTTCCTGGCGTTCTGATGTATGGAGGATGTACGTGTGTTCAGTGAGGCGTGCGGCTCGAGATGCAATTTACATGACAGCTCATGTACAATCAGGGTCAGTTTGATGGATCTGTGAGGTGTCTTTCTTTCTGCTTTTTTTGTTTTTATACCAGCTCCATGCTGTAGGTGAGCACAAATGACAGGCAGTAATAGTTTTCATAAACACCAGATGCTGCAGCCAAACTCTCTTGGGTGTTTGTGAGACAGTTGGGTCTGTGCTTCAACAATACCATAAACTCAGAAGGAAACGTGTAGTTCAGAGAATCACACTGAAAAGGCAAGAGCTTCAGTATCTCTGTCTGTCATTATGTACTCGAGAAATATAAGAAGATGTAAGCAAGTTAAGTATGCATCTTGCGTTTAATGCATGTAATATCTTATTAATAGTTAAAGAAATTAAAAGCTTTTTGTGACTTATTAGAGAGCACAACTGAGAATACTTTTTTTTAACATCAACTTTCTGAAAAAAATGAGCTCATGTTACATTTGTTCTTACTAGCATGTGTTCATTTTTACTTTTTGGATTTTGCTGAACTAGTTTGTAGATATTTTTTATATGTATGTCCTAATAAATAACCTGAAAGTAAAGTTGAAAGCAGAAAAAAACATATTCAGTAAATTCCTAAAGCCTAATAATGCAGTCTGTATAATTTATTAAAGGTTACTATCACAATTAGTTGTTTCTCTCTTCAGCTCAAATAGCATAACTATGGCCATTCTTTGTGCTTTTTCAAATGGATCAGTCTAACTCCTGGCTTTTGCTATTGTTTAAGGACTCTGAAGGATTAAAACGTATTGAGTGTTTTCAGGATAACTACAAACAAATCTAAAAATAATGTTTTTGAAATCTATTCGACAATAAATGAATAAATAAAAATCGAAAACCCATACGCAAAAAACTGTAAAGTCTCAAAAAAAATTTTTTCCATGTAAACTAAACTGAATTTGAATAATGTAATTTGTCTTTGACAAAAACTAATCAGTATTTTGATGACATTTAATTACGTGGCACTCTCTAGTAGAAGAGTCCCCGAGGCTCACTGGGATTAACCTGTATAAATAAAGATTGAATGAATGAATCATGTGATTTATTTTGTGTCTGTGCTATCTTAATAAGTAAACCTGGAGAAGTAAAAATAAAATGTGTATTTAATACAATAACTTTAAAGCTTGATAGATATGTACGTTTACATTTCCAATAAAACTGATTTGTATTTTGCTGAATTGGCGCCTAATAAAGGTTGTTATCAGTCCTGAAGGTGCAAATAAACGGTATGCACATCCACATGTGTTGGCCCAACATCTTACCTCGCCTTCTCTGTGCCACGGCCTCCCATTCTGAGGGTACTTGCTCTGGCTTTGGCGTTTCTTCTGCCCTCCGTCGGCAAATTTGCACAGCAAAGGCTCCGTGGGGGCTGCAGAGAAAGACAAATGAAGGTCACAGCCATGTTTGGAGGAGTTTATCGTGTGACCCAACAGAAACACAGATAACCTTTTGAACTGTGTCTCGTTTCCCTTAATTCTACCAATCGGCTCGTTGCGCCCCCTCCCTTCCTCTTTTCTGCCTTCCTATGGAGCTGCTAGACAAATTCCCAGTCGAGCGATGTTGGAAGGTCCTCGCTGTCCTCGCCTCAGCTGGCAGCCCATGAAAGAGCATTGCAGGGTATTGTTGAAAAAATAATCACAGTAATCGCTCTTGTAAATACCTCTTAGATGGTAATGCGAGACGGCTCTGTCAGCCAAAGCTTATTTCTAGAAGGCGTTCCTGGTCCTGACGCATAATCCCCGAATGTTTTACTAGAACGGCCGCCTTCGTTTGACATTTTATGTTTTTACACTCAGAGAGCCAAAGTGTAAAAGTCTCACCAAACTGCACGTTTTAGGCAAAGGTTATGTTAGCTCTATGTTAGCTGTGCTTATCGTTACCGACACTAAAGGCTGTGAAAATATTTCTACAACTAGAGAAATTGCATTTCCTGCAAAAATATGGTGTGAATGCACATTGCTGGATAATTTGCATAAAAACAGCTGAAATTAGCTAAAAACTTGCTGAATTGTAGCTGAAATGGAAGAACAAGCCTAATTTAGCAGAAGAAACCAGAAAGAAAACATATTCGCTGAATTAGGTTTAAATAAGCAGAAATGAGTACAAATATTTGGAAATTAGCTAAAAAAGCTGGAATTAGCAAAAAAAACTGCTGCAAAGTAGCTGGAAAGGCAGAAAAAAACGCTTAAACAACCAGAAAAACGCATAGAGATAAAATGAGCTAAATAATGTGGAATTAGATGAAAAAGCTAAAATTAGTATAGTAGCTGAATAGCTAAATAGTAGCTGAAATAGCAGAAAATACTGAAATTAGCAGAAAAAAGCTGAAATGAGCATAGCAGAAAGAAATGAATTAGGCTGAAAGTAGCAGAAATTACACCAAAAAAACTTTAATTTATCTGAAAACAGCTGAAATTAGATTAAAAAAATGCTTAAAAAATATAGCTAAAAAGGTTGAAGTTTAAATTAGCAGAAGAAAGCAGAAAGAACACATTTGCTTAATTAGGCTAAAAAAAGCAGAAATTCGCACAAAAAGTGGAAATTATCTGAAAAATGCTTAAATTAGCTTAAAGCAGCTGAAACAGAGGTAAAAAGGCAGATAGAAGCTTAAATTACCAGAAGTGGAGAGAGCACAATTTGCAGAATTAGTCTGAAAAAGCTGAAATTGGCATAAAAACATCAACATAGTAGTTAAAATAGCAGAAAAAGCTGAAACTAAAAGAAAAAAGCTGAAGGGAGCATAACAAGCTAAAATTAGCAGAAACAAGTTAGAAGAAGCAGAAAAATGTGGTAGTTAGCAGAATTAAGCTGAAAGAGCACAAAAAAAGCTGAAAAACAGTTGACATTAGCTGAAAGTAGCTGAAAAAAGTTTAAATTTGAACAAGGAAGCTGAACTGCAACAAAATGTGAAATGAGCAGTAAAAGGTTGTAAACAGATCTAAGGATCTGAAAGATCTATGAGGAAAAAAAATAGCAGAAAAGGTTAAATATTTCAAAAAGCTAAAGTTGCACCAATACCAAAAGTCATAGCACCCTTCTCCTTAATGAGCTGAACATTTTGATTTATGGTTTGTTGAACTAGCACAAACATTGTGGAACGAGAAAGATGCTGAAAAACGTACGGGGATAAAAAGGATCACAATAGTGTGAATGCTTCACAAGCGTTCACATAGAAAAAGAAAAGGATCCTCACATGCCCTTTCTGTAGAGATCTGGACTGTTTATTATCAGTAATAGAAAAAAATACGACACACGTCGCAGTAATTAATTAAGATATAAAGAAATCTTTGCAGTGGGATCTAATCTAAGCGGTCTCTGTATCAACAACCTTTTGTATGCATAATTACTAAAGGTCAATGAAAGTGCTGCGATGACCTACGCTGCAATAAAGATAACTCCTCAAAGGGCACTTTCTCACGCTGGTGCTGCAGGTGAGCTCCGACAGAACAAACAGACTTGGGTCTACTGATGAGATAGTGCAGAAAAAGTATGAGGAAAGACATTGTTAGGGGGCAAAAAAAAAAAAAAGCCTGAGAAAATGGCTTTCTTGGCTGGTGATTCAGGGGTTTTGACAAGTCTGTCCCTTTTTTCTGTCCGTGTCAGCGAGATCAGAATCTCTGAGGAGGTGGGCGTGGAGATGAAAGGAGGAGAGGGAAATGGTTGTATAACCAGGGGAAAATGAACAAGTACAAAAATTAAAATGTAATATATATATATACATATATATATATATATATATCTATATATATATATATAGATATATATATTATATATATATAAATAAAGGAGACAATGTATTGGTACCACATACACACGCACATAACTAAAAAAGGTAATTAACTAACAAAATAAAACTTGTATAATTGGAGAAACAGTGTACAATCCAAACCAAAATTCTAAAATTCAAATATACTATAAAGGTATGAATTAGCTCTCCCTAAAAAGTGTTTTATTCTGAATTACTGATAAACCTCATCATGCCAAACATGCCACTGCACGCCTTTTAATATCTGCTGTTGAAGGGGGAATTAATCAAACTGAATTTGGAATTAGATTTTATAAACAACACGCGGTCTTCAGAACCCAAACTTTAAAACGTCTGTGAAAACATATTAATTCATAAAGAAACACCAACACATTACTGATCTGGATACACATTTGGAACAAAACCCCAAATGTTACAAGGATAACTGAAACTGGATCAATGTGAAGATTTAATTTAAAACGGAACACATCAGGTCACAAAACTTCCAATGTTTGTGTCAGAATATCACCCGTCAACTACAGCTGATTGACTGATAATCAATTTTAGAAAAAATGGCTGACTAAAACACTGTAAGGTTCATTTGTCTAAACGCTGACTCATCACTTCAGATGCACCTGGAGGTCTAACAGGAACCTGACGGCTCTCCTGTCATCACGGTCACATTACAGGCCTGGCTGCTCCGTGACAAAACAGGCTAAATACGATGCTGTCTGCGGAAGCTAATGCAACAGGATCCTTCATCAAGCAGCGCCCCAGCTGACACCCGCAAATAGAATTGTTGATGCTTTCACCTTCGTTCGCAGATGCTACAAAAGGCTGAGCCTTGATAATCAACACAACAGCAGACTAACACAAAGTTTTGTTGGGTTTGAAAGGGACAGTGATGAATTAAACAATGTGAAGTGATGTTTTTGGTTTTAAAATTAAAGATTTACGCATTATTAAGCTAAAAAGATCCTGTACCTGCTGTGCATAAAAACACAGACAGAAGGTGGTTATGGTGATAAAGTTGTGCGTGTATGCTCATACTGATGAACATTATTTCTCTTAAGAGAAATGGAAATCTGTGTGTTTATGTGACTTTAGGGTTTGTTATAACGCGACTAAACTTTTCAGGAGAATGTAGCAAGCAGAAGCGAGCGCGAGCGCGAGCGCCGCTACAAAAGAACAAAACAACAAAAGCTCTTCCAAACCTCTCCTCTGGCACTCTGGGAGATAATTAGCTATTGGAGAAATTTAGAGAATCTGACACAGAGCACGTTGACCTTCCCTCTGTGACTACATTCCCAGTTCCCACAGCAGACGAGCCAATTTGCTTAAGACTCAAGCCCAAGATCAACAGCCTCACACCACCCCACCCACCCTGTGAGCACACTCACCCCTCTGTAGCCCTGACACGCACACACACCCTCCTGCTGCCCTAAAAGTCTTTCAGCTGTGACCATTAAATACACACACGATACAAACTGCTGCCAACCACAGTCATCACTGGCAGAGTTTAGTGAACTAGGCCACCAGTTTGCTGATTCTGCGCCTTTAGGACAGTCTTTAAGTGCAACACGGCTAGGGGGGCTCATTACAAAAACAATTATGGACTAACTTTTAATTTCATTCAAGGATTCCAAGGTCAAACCCTAAATTACTCCTTCCTCTTACTTTAACCTATCCTATTATTTTGTGCTTTCTCTTTGGGAGGAAGGGCGTTTCATAAGGTAAAGGAAAGCTGTAGGGCTCTGTCACTTTTAAAAACTGAGATTTTTCAGAAATATGCTTTAAAAGGAAGGTGTATGAGATGTGCATGTAAAAAAGAACCTCAAAAAGGTAATGATTTTTACTTTAAAACGTTTAACTGACACAAAATTATTGTGACGTTTGGTTTGATGGGTACTGATGTATTTAATACGTACATCACTGTCAGTTATTCTTAACGGGCAAAAAAATAACAGAAACTGTGCCGTGTTTCTCTATTAAAAAGATTTGCCGTCACAATAACTCCTGTAATGTCTAGTTTGGTGTTGCAATTGGGTATATTTGGTATTATTTTTTTTACTTCCCTAAAAAAAAAAAAATCCAAAGGTTGTTGCAGACTAGATAACTATATACGAACTTATTGATATGGTCGTTTATGTAAAAGAAATTGGCATCAATTGGTGATATTTTGTGTTCTTGAAGGTGTATAACAACTTCCCATTAAGGGGCAAAATGTGAGGGAAAAGACATGGATGTATGTGTTCAGCATAAACTCTGATGTACTTTTGATTAGAAAGTCATCAACTGCTACAAAGTTTCTTAATGAGTAAGCCACTTACGGAACTGAGTTTGTTGCGACTTCTCGGACTGATGAAGTCCTTTGGATAAAGGTGCTTCAATAAAAAAAGAAACCGTCCAGAGGATCCTTGAACAGGAAACAGAGGACTTTGATGGGCTATTCATGAGTGTTTTTAATGTGTAATTCTGTAGGAACTGCTCAATATATTAATTAGTGTTTGGTACCAAATTATGTATGTACAGGTGCTGGTCATAAAATTAGAATATCATGAAAAAGTTAATTTATTTCAATAATTCCATTCAAAAAGTGAAACTTGTATATTATATTAATTCAT